TCCGTCCAGGAGAAGAGAATGCTGTCCACACCGGCCTGAAGACTAAGCATGATGGTCTGTACCAAAGATAGCCAGAAAATAGGATGGTTGACGTAGTAGGTACTATAGCTCAGAGCGTGCGATGCGAACGGAAAGCTCCACATGAGGATGTAGACCAGAGGATAGATAAACAAGTACCGCAGCTGCTTGCGTATCGCCAATCTGGTCCTTTTGAGCGGGTCATTGGGCCCGCGGGAAGTCGTCGTCGACGCGTCCGGGTAGACAGCAGGCGTCTCCCGAGTCTCGTCCTTCGAGACCGACAGGGATCGCCGTGCCGCTGAGTTGTCCTGGAGCTCATGGATCGATGGCGGCGGCGGATCTGGAGGCGGTTGGGTTTCACCAGACCACCCACTCCCTCGCGCTTGCATATTCCTCCCTTCGGATGCTTGCTGAGTCTCAATAGCGAGATTCTGTAGCGGTCTTGAAGTAATAAAATTCACGTCATCCCAGGGTTGGCGTTGGTCTGGTGCCACAGCCGCTTCGAAAAACGAATTCTGGGTATGCGATATTGAACCTTGCGAGGGCATGGCCGGTGCCCGGTCAGTCGCCCTCCTCTCGGTCTTGCGACACCTGGTCGAATGATAAGACTGTTGTCTCCCAGACTCGTAGGACGAATCCGATGCGCCGAGGTTATCGAAACCTCGAAATTTGATGTGGACGTAAATGTATATCCAGATATACATGATCAGAATTACAGCTATGATTAGGTATCTGGGGACCCAGGACAGTGCGAGGCGATACCAGAACGGCCGTTTCGGGAGGTAGCAAAATGTTCCAACTGTAATATAGGCGTTCTTACTCTCCAGGAAGGCTAACGATGCTGCCAACAGCGGCGGGCCAAGCCACATGATATAGGTCCAGCGCCGATACCGATAGAGCCCTCCCTCTCCCAAGGTACTACCGGGTCTGAGAATATAGAGGATGGAGTGTAGAGCAATGATGAGAATGGCCATGTCGGATGCCTCGATTGCAAACACGAGCAGGAATCCACTGGCCTGGCAGAAATTCGAATTGCTCTTCACTGGGCCTCTGGCGAATACCACGATTGGAAAGACGAAGTACCATATTGCTTTGAAGGTGTCGCTGATGATGAGATACAAGACCAAGCGATGCCGGAAACTCCTTCGCATGATGAGGAACCATCGTAAGGTGACTAGAACCACGACCAGACTGACACATGCACACGCCAGTGCGGCAACCAAGATAGCATGATTTTGCGCATCGCTCAACGATCCAGTGGTAATTTTGCCAGGTTCGACAGTGTTGACAGGACTGTCTCGCCATGTCAGAGAGTGTGGCGAATGGCTCGTTGGATAAGGATCGAGGATGTCTGATGCTCGCTCCAGTGGAGAATGTCGAACCATGAGAAGAGTTTGTCGTAAGATGACGATATAACCAGCATCACTCATAATATGCTTTCATCAGAAGTCACCAGAACGAGGGTGTGTATGGGGGGGTGTGTGTGGTTTATGCGGAATACAGGGCCAGCTGAAGATATCCAAAGAAAGGGAACAATTGGCAAATCTCGTAAAAAATGGATTCTTGCCATGCGAGTCTTTGAGGTAGACGTTCACTCACACTATAGAGGGGAAGCGTCGATCATAACCAGCAAAAAGGAGATGAACCAAGGGGAAAATACTGTCAAAAAGTCCCTGCATTCTGTGAGCACCGAGCAAAGAGTTTTAGACCCACCAGGAGGAATGTTGTTGTGATACATCTGGCAAACTTTCGGTTGATCGGGAAGGGAGTGGCAGTCCGGGTAACAAGATCGGATAACAGGGTCCATGGGTGTATGAAATGGAAGAAGCTCTCGGCCACAGACCATGACGAGGGCCATGGCGCAATGGCGATCTGTGAGCGATGCTTATGATGGTCTGTGTTTGGGGTTTTCATTGGGAGAATGAAGTAGGATAGAGGAAGTATATGGATTTTACACTCCCCTAAGACCCCCCTTTCTATACACATTCCCAAAAGGGGCTAGCGTCCACATCGCCAAGCCTCGACCTGCGATCCGTGGCTTTGGTGGGTTTTCCAGGTTTCGCTACGGGCGCAGTTCCTCCCCAACCTTCTCCCAAATACCCGAAGACAAAACAGCATCAAAATATCCACGATACCCCACCATGGCGAGCAAATCCCACAGTGCCTTGAGTGCCCAACTCCATTTATTATTTGTTGATGTTTCACATGCACGCCCGACACGCCCACTATGTCGGGGACGATCCTCTACCGCAACCAAGCCGCCACTGTCGCCCTGATCGACATCCCTCAATCTATCCGCGCGGGGCAGCACCTCGCCTACACGCTTAGATCATCTTTGGCTGTGAGAAGCCCCTACCCTAGCACAGAGCCGAAGGGGATCAAGCGAGAGGCTATACTGAACACGACGACTGTCGAGGAGCAACTCTACCATGAATCTCTGCAATACGAGATTCGTGCTGCATTGATCGAGATCCGGACACATTTGCATGGTCGAGGCGAGCTTTGGTGCGGTGCACGACGCGCTTTGACCTCGCATGCTGACACGTCCGTGCCTCCATCCCCAGCCCAACCGAGCAATTTGGAATGGTCTATGAGCACTGGTCCTTCCTCTACCGCGGTACCCGTGGTTTTATCGACCACAGAAAGCCGCACCAAGTTTCATTCGCTTGAGGATCTTCAGGGTACCGTCGTCTACAATATCGTGTCGCAAACTGCGATAGTGCAAGTTCGTCATGTTGGTGACTTTCTTGTTGCCTCAGGATCTGTCTTCCTTTGGGCAAGTCTTGAACAAGGATCTCCCGCTTTCCTCTCAGCCCGTCGAGCACTGCCGCCTGAGAACAGGGCTTTCGACCTCATTTTGATGGACCCTCCTTGGCCCAATCGCTCAGTTCGCAACTCTAATGCTTACAGAACGTCCGAAGCTCAGGCCCGGGATCCGTTTCTACAAGCAGTGTGCCTTACGGGGGATTTCCTCGACCCGCAAGGTATCCTTGCCTTGTGGATCACCAACAAGTCCTCTATCCGCGAGAAGGTATTACAAACATTGCATGCACTAGATCTACACCTACACCAAGAATGGATATGGATCAAGGTCACTGCTCAAGGCGAACCCGTCAGCGAAATTGACGGAGTTTGGCGGAGGCCGTACGAGATTCTGCTGTTGTTTCGCAAAGGTCAACCTCCTAAGGCGCCCGAGCGAAAGGTCATCGCTGCGGTGCCGGACTTGCATTCGCGGAAACCCTGTCTGAAGCCCCTGTTGGAAGAGCAGCTACCTCCAAAGTACAGTGCCCTCGAACTGTTTGCGAGAAACCTGACTACCGGATGGTGGTCATGGGGTGACGAGGTGTTGAAGTTCCAACATGAGAGTCAATGGGATGGTTATGAGGGATCTGAAGTAACTTTTTAGACGGCGCTCTTCGTGCAGCTCTGGCCACTTGTAGTGTAAGCAAACCAAAAAAGGTGTTTCGGATGAGGCATTCGCAGCCTTGCCTGAGGTAAGAGGCCGAGGCTGGCTTCCGCAAGGCTGTGATGGCTTCCGCCAATCAAAATCTTCGGGTGCCTGGATCTCCCCGCCATTGACGCAATCGGCAATTGCCTGTCCCTCCATGTTTGAGTCTCATCGCCTGCGAGCCTCATTCACACACGCACACACCTTTCGCTCTTTCTCTCCCCATCTGCTAATTCTACGTGAGAAGAGACATTACCAGCAGTAACAGCCAAATGGCGACAGCGGCACAGAAAAAGATGTTTGTCCCTCTGGGTAAGTCATCCATCCCTTCGAACCAAAAAAACATCCTCAGACCATCACCTCCCCGTCTCCTAGCGGGGCCTGCTACCGAACGCCACCACTAACTAACTGCCTTGCTGTTACTAGAGAACAATCCAGAGGTGATGAGCAACCTGGTCCACGAACTCGGCCTGTCCCCCTCTCTGCAATTTCACGACGTCTATTCCCTCGACGAACCGGCCCTGCTGGACTTCCTCCCCCGGCCGGCCATCGCCCTGCTCCTCGTCTTCCCCGTGACGGGAACGTACGAGAAGTTTCGAGCAGAAGAGGACTCGGCACGCGACGAGTACACGGGGTCGGGTGACCAGGAGCCCGTGGTTTGGTTCAAGCAGACGATCGGCAACGCGTGCGGGCTAATCGGGCTGCTCCACGCCATCACCAATGGCGAGGCGCGGTCCAACATCGTCGAGGGCAGCGATTTGGAGAAACTCCTCAAAGAGGCCCTCCCGCTCAAGCCCGCCGACCGCGCCGATCTCCTCTACAACAGTCCCACGCTCGAGGCCGCCCACGCGACCGCCGCGGCAAAGGGCGACACCGAGGCTCCCCAGGCCGAGGCGGACGTGGACCTGCACTTTGTCGCGTTCGTCAAGGACAAGGAGGGATATCTGTGGGAGATGGACGGGTCGAGAAAGGGTCCGTTGAAGAGAGGCTTCTTGGGTCCGGACGACGATGTGTTGAGTCCAAAGGGTCAGGAATTGGGTGTCAAGGCTTTTCTGAAGAGAGAGGAAGAGGCGGGCGGCGGGGAGCTGCGGTTTAGTGTTCTCATGCTGGGTCCGAGTTTTGATGGATGACCTGACGACAACGACTCCCGTCGTATACATACCCATCGAGCACTTCTGGTGACGGACCTTCTCGAGTATGTCTGTGGCTGGAGCTTAAAGCATACTGAAGGCGTTTGTGCATTGGTGGACTGGGACAACCGAGAACTCGGGCATATGGGTGGATAGGACAGCACAGGACAGCACAGAAGTAACATGCGCTTGCAAGCACAGCTGACGAATGACTTTCATGACAGCACGAATGAGACTAATGGAGCCAGTCCAGTCCTGGCCGGACTGAGGTGGACGAATAGATTTTTGCGGACTCAGAGGACGTCTTTGTGTCCTTGGCCCTCAACCTCCTTTCTCTCTAATCCTTTCGTTTATATAATGTACAGTAGCGTCCTGATAAAAGCAGCTCCGACGCCGACTCCTCTTTATTGTTCGTGCTGCAATCGTCCCACAGCAGCCTCGGCCTCGACGTTTGCTCTCTCCTCCCTCTGTGCTCGTCTGGTATTTCGCACGTCCCACAACCCCTCCAAATCCATCTCGACCCGCTTGTCCTCGGTGAACATCTGGACGACAATACGTGGCGAGTCGGACCGTGAGCCGAAACCGACGTAGTCGTCTCCAGGATTCTGGTATTCGTCCTCTTCATCCTCGGCGAGCGTCTCCTGCATTTTCCTTGTCATCATTGGCGCGGCGGTAGACGCGGGAGAGACACGTTGTTCGTCTCCCTCGGCACCGTCTGTCCGCATCTGATCTCCATCTTCGTCCTCTTGCATTTCTGGCACGACGGCGTCGTCGACAGCGCCCATGTTTACGCAGATCCACCCCGTGGTGATTCCGTCGTCGGCATCTTTCATGGCAACCGTGTTCCCCACGCTCTGCGCCAGCTTCATCTTCCTCGCCTTTCTCCTCAGCTTCAATTTCAATTCGTTCCTCCCCAACAGTCCGTCTGCGTACGGTCTCAGTTTGTACTCTTTCCTGACCCAACGACAAAATCGATCGGCCGAGACGTTGAGATGTTTGACGGACCGAGCAGTGCCGATGATCATCAGCAGGTTGGAGCCCAGCGCGGGCGGCGGGTCGAGGCGCCGGAGGTCTAGGAGCGTGAGGTTATCGAGCCCGATCTGGGTCGAGAGGTGCGTGAGGACAGGGGAGAGGATCGCGGGTGGATCGTGTGGCAAGGGCGGGATTTCCTGCAGCGCGAGCAAGGGGGATATAGGCGCGGGCGGAGTGGGATCTTCGATCTGAAGGTACCACGGTATCGAAGACGACTCCGCCTGAGTTTCTGACGGGGTTTGCGACGAGCTCTGTACGCCGGACTGTTGCAAAGGCGCAAAGCGAGTAAAATTTCTGCGTGACTGGCCCAACGGCTTAGAAAGTCTCGAAGGGGCGACGGCCTTGACTGGGATCGAAATTCCAGCGAGAGAAGTAAAGGCCTCGAGGATTGACGCCCGGCAGGATGTGCATCGCACCATTGACCGGTGCATTGCTGAACACCGCGAGTTCGCACGATATTCCGACTTTGCAAGGAAAAGGGATAGAATAAGCAAGCCGACAGCGCAAATGTGACGGTCGAGGGAATATAGACTTGGACGCAAGTAATTATTTTTTGGAGAGCAATTCCCGAGAGGTAAATGTCAACGAGGCTTCGGGCTAATATTGATCCAGAGCCGATGTCACTGTCTCCACCCTGCCCCCCCCCCCCCCCATGTTCAGCCTTTCTCAACCTTTCTAGAGACTTTGAACTTGTTTATGTACAAGCACGCGATGGGGAGAAGTGTGATGTGGGCTGTTCATTATGGTATGCAGACCTTTCCAGCCCTGCACAGAAGAAGAGGACGAGGTAGAGAAAGGACGAGTAACGCTTGCAGACACGAGGCTGGCAGGTGATTAATTTGGGATGGATAAACTTCGTCTCCGAAATGGACGTGTTTGTTTCATCGACGTCCCTTCTTCGTTCTTACAAGGCAGTGTCCTGACCCCAAGTCCGTGACCAGATACTCGGTTCAGCCTTGCTATGGGGACATGTGAAAACATATCTCTACTTCTATCAAGTGGCAGACTAAAGATGCTCACGCGTTGTGTCTAGGACATCGCTCTAGGTCTCGGCACGTATGGCACTATTGACACTAGAACCTGAGGAAGAAGAAGTCTGAACTTCTGCAAAGTGGTCAGGATACTCTTGAAGGTATCCAGCTTGGCGATATGATGACTTATCAATCCGGAGTCGTTGGTGCACCCATCATACGCCAAGTGAGGCATTCGCTCAACTAAAGCTGCCCACAAACCATCCACCTTCTGCTCACTTGTATCAGAACCAAAGTTCTCGAGCACCAGAATTCGAGAATGAACAAAAACTCTGCCTCGAAGGCACCCACCCACTTTTGTGGTATTTGGCCTTCGAGGTAAGTGAAACCTTTCGCCTGCGTTGTCGCATTCGAGGGTTTTTCTCAGTTCAGGATTCTACGAGGTGCAGTCATCATTTCAAAGCTCCCATTTAAGTGTGAAAACATGGTGTACTGATGAGTCATGTAGTCAGGGACCGGTTGGCTTCATCCGAATTGCTGGTAAGAAATGCGAGAGACAAAATATATGTGGCACAATTGTGCATACTGGGGAGTGGTGAGGCAGAAGCCTCTTCCCCCGAGAATCTTGATGGAACTCGACACAGATGGACTCGTGTCCGGTAAATATGCTCATGAACAGTCTACCAAGACCACAGCGTGCTGCGCCACTCAATGACTTGCGTAGCATAAGTATACCGCGGGATGCCGTGGCAGCATCACGATAGATATTGTCGCTTTTGAGATTGCTGGTTCATGGCTCAGGTCAAAAGAGGGATTTCAGGTGTGCTTCTCTGTGGAAGTGTTTTCAGCTATAAATCCACATCCTGCCAAAGCATTAGTCCAACCTTCCGATACTCACCTGCGTTGATGAAAGAAAGAACGTCACCGCTATCCATCTTTCCAGCGTCCTGGAACCTCATCTTGCTTTGAGATATCTCTCGATTCTTCCCTTCGGCACTCCGGCTTACCCAGAACATCACCCTTCACTTCTGTCTCTGACTTCATCACAACTTCACGGTCTTGTCGATGACAACACATGTTTGCGGCACCAGCGATAGAAGCAACAATTTAATCTCTGACGAGACTGTCATCTCTGGTCCTGATCCAATCCACCTCTGTTGAGCAAAGGTCTCTAAAAGTGGAGCGAACGACACCATGCACGACACTCTGACAACCTCGTCCCCCACGCGGACCGCCTCTTCCGCGAGCCTACTGAATTCTGTGCTGAGTTCAATCACTTTCCCCGAGGGAACCGCATCGATGACATCCGTTAGGTTGGAATCAGAATACGCACCAGCTTCTGATCGACGGGCACAATATGTCGAGTCTCGTCTTGAGAGGAGAAGCAAGGAGAAAGGAGTGCTTCGCGAAAAATTGGGTTACAAGAGAAGGCGTCTTGGTGATGATCGTACATGCAAATCCAAGCTGCGCGATCGTCTGACGAGCCTAGAACAGGCTCTCTCAGCAGACACGAAGGTCCTCGAAGAGATTGACAAGAAAATGAAGCAACTTCAGGCCGAGTACATCTCGGTACAAGAGAAGGCTGCTTGGCACCAGAAGGATATCAGTTCGCTAAGTGAGCAACTCCAGCATAAAGAGGAAGATATCCGCGCCCAACAGGCCGATATTGATCAGCTGGAGAAGGAGCTGAAAAATGCCTCAGAAGGTGAAATCGCCAAAGTGGCTCGCCAAGCGGAAATCCTGGACATGAGTGACGCAGATCTCACAGCTATGGCGATCCATGCTATGAAAAACCGTGAGTTTGGGAATAAGATTGATAAAGCGGCACAAAAAAAGGCGACTTCAATCATGATTAGGGACATTCAGAGCGAAATATTTAGCAGAATGACGGGCGTCACTCCGGACGAGTTCCAAGAACTGATGCAGCAAATCCAATCGGCCAAAAATGCGTTGTCTAGCGAGAAGAAAGGGGACAAAGATGATGGAAACAGAGACAACACCGAGCACACTGAGAATGATCGCAACAGTGTTGGAGCCCCCGACGGTGAGTGCAACAATGTCGGTAAGCCGCAGGAAAGTCTCGGTGGCGGCGAAGACGAGGACGACGAGTTCATGCACCCAATCCGACGCGCACGCCAGTCATTGAACGAGCACCCCCTCGGAAAAGCAGGAAAAATGTCGGGTCCAGATGTCAGACCTCCACAAATCACCGTTTCGGCAACATGGTCCAGTGGGCAACCAAGCAAACGTGGACACGACAATACTACGGGGCCCGGTTGGTGATAGGGCCTGATGATGGATTTGATCATTGGGCCTGTGTCGAAGCCGAGTTTCCAAGCATCTTTCGGTGAAGATTTCGTTCGCGGAATACATTGACCAAGGAAAGGATTTCGGGGGTTTTGGGGGTCCTCGATTCACACAAGTCCCCGATCCCTGGCATTGATCGAGTCCCTTGGAGAAGAACACAGTGGCTGGAGAGTCCGGACGGCACGGGACGGTGACTGTGCTTTCACACTACCTCCCCTTGACTACCTACCTAGGTACGAGCTTGCTGAAAATGTTTTGGAAAAATACACATACACATCTGGGAGACAGATCGAAACCGGGAGCGGGGGTGGGAGCAGATGTGTGGCCCAGATAGATAGATAGCAATGCTGAAATCATATTCCAACAGCGGCGGCAAAGCAGCAATTCCAATTTGATATGACAATGAAATTGCGAGAATCGAAATCACATATTCGTGTCAATCAATGGTACAGATCTAGGCACAGACACAGACGAGTGGTTTGTCTCGCCGGAAAACAGTAGAATGATTTCCCGCCGCCACGTCACATCGAGTCTACAGGCTAGCTGAGGGCATTCATACATACGGAACAGACAAATAAACAGATAAACAGATAAACAAAGTTCGTCATGTGCGTTTGGTCCCCGTCGAGAGATGGAAATGGAAATACAGATAGACAGACGCTCTCAGACGATATGATATGAGACGATCCGATCCGATCCGATACGATGGTGTGGTTGTCATCAAGGCCCCGTCGTCATGTACACGTCTCCGCCGGCGCCGGCACCAGAGGGTGTTGAGCGCGGGTACTCTGCCGACGAGGCTGGTGGTCCTGTCCTCGCCCCTGGTCCGACACTCGCCCCTGCTACTGCTAGCGTCATCGGTGCTGTCGTCATCGTCTCTGCTGCTGCTGCGAAGGTATTGTTCGCAAATCCCCTGGGTACTTCACCATTGCCTGCGCCGCTTGCACTGTGGAGGTATCCAGTTTCACCAGACTGGGCATATCCACTGCGTGGTGCATCACGGGCAGCCCCCACCACGCCAGGGTCATCGATGGTGTCGCCATCACTCTCCCTCTCTCTCCGTTCCACATCCACATCCTCGCCGACCACGGCCATGGCATTCTCATCCTCGACATCCTCGACATCCTCGACATCCTCGGCATCCTCTTCCTCGGCGGACATCTCGTCCTTGCGCTGGCTCACCTTGTCGAACATCCACTGACAGACCTCCTCCTGGTGTTGCATCATGATTTGATTCAGACCCTCCGCGTCACTCCGCACAAGCCGCCCATATCGCTTGCTCACTCTCCCGCTTTCCTTCTCCTTCTTCCACAGACTGTGCCTGCCACTAACAACCACCAGTGAATTGTTGCGATACCACTGACTCACCCAGTGGTTACCGCCGGGATTGCTGATAGGGCGAATTGGCTCAGTGGAGATGAAACACACGATCCCCACGAGGTTTTGATAGACGTTGTCGTTCACCGACACCAATTTCGCAATGGCGTGAAATGCGTGGCCTGCACCCATCAGGATAATTCCCCAGGGAAAGTCGTATGGCTCGACGTAGTTTTCCCAGATGTACAAGGCAAGTTTCTCGCCTTCTTTTCTTGCAAGGTCGGTCGTTGTGGAAGCGTATTCGACATCTCTCGACGATCCATGTGGATGAGTGGAGGAAAGAAAGTCGGACTTCGTGTTCGGATCGTCGTCGGTGGAAACGGTGATGAACTCGGGCACGTTGATGTCTATGACTCCCATGCCGTGGAAAGCCGCCCAATGGACGTACGACTGTGCGCCGTCAACCTTTTGCATGCGTGAGCAGGTTGAAATAGTCAATCATGAGAAGGAAACCGGGAAGGGGCAGGAAGGGAAAGGAAGACGGAGCAACAGGAAACCGGCACATACAAGCCATGTATCATGAGGCTTCTGTACCGCAGAAAGACCATTGTGGGCGCTGAGAAGATCAGGTCTGCAGCAAATCTTGTCAGCCTTCCTTTTGAGGCGGTCCAGCGAGCCGTTCGGACTTACGAGTCATGGAATATGATCATCAAAGCTTTCTTGGTCTCGTAGTTGGGTCTGTCCTTTATATCAGCAAGGCATTCCTGATCTGCCCCGGGGACTGCGACTCACGTCGCGAGGACCTGCTGGTCAAATGATTTTGACACTGTATCGCGGTAGATATACAGCTGGGTGAACTTGTATTTATCATAGAGGTGCATGGCCTGATACCGGCGAATGATGTCTAGTTAAGACCGAGGGGGTGAGCTTGGTTACGAGGGTGAACGAAGGGCAATGAAAGCGCCTCCAAAGTCGAGCTCTTACCGTGCAATCTTTCTCCACCAAATATTCCACCGATGTGGTCCTTGGGATAGATACTTCTCCAATACTTCGACTGGACATTCCGAACCTTGGCCACGGTGTTCACCGCGTCCTGTGTGGCTGCCGTAGCTTGCAGGCGATCAGGAGGTTCACCCATCAAGGTGCGGGTGACCGCGAGGGCGGATTTTGAGATAGCACGGAAGTTGTAACCCCCTTCCAAGCACACAGCAATCCTCCCTCCAGCGAGGGACATTAGCATGTGTGTCATGTGTGCATAGCAGGGCGGTGAGACGAAACAACCACCCAGCTCATCTCCAGCTGCGGCGTCGAATCCTGCAGCAACGACGACGAAATCCGGGTCGAATTCGTTCGCAATGGGCATGACGACGTTCTGGAACGCGTACATGTAGTCACCATCGCCCATGCCTTTTGTGGGCCAGGGAATATTGACGTTTCTTTCACGGTCGTAAGTGTTGGTCATCAAGGGCCGAGGAGCAAGTTCATGGACTTACCTTCCCTCGCCAGCGCCAACGCCACAGTGATACATGTCACCCTCGTTCCCTGTAGGGTAGAACGTCCCGTTCATGTGTACGTGCAGGGATATGTAGAGAACGTTGGGGTCATCGTAGAAAGCTTGTTGACAGCCATTGCCTGAAACATGTCAGCTTGAACGTGCAAGTTTCAAGAGTGCGAACTTGGCTGACCGTGATGGACATCCCTGAAGTCTTCAGCGTCAGCTCTGTATTCCAATCCAACGAGGTGAGGACAACTGACCAATCCACGACCAGGATTTTCCTGCAATGTTCCCCAAAGTCATTCTGGCAGACCCTAGAAGCAATACAGACATTGTTGAAGAGACAGAACCCCATGGGCCTCCCAATCTCTGCATGATGCCCTGGAGGTCGGATAACGGCGATGGCATTTTTTACCTTCCGTGACATAACCGCTCGACATGTCTCAATCGCCGCGCCTGCAGATAGTTTGGCAGAGAAGAAGGATAGCTGATTAAAGTAGATTGAATCCATGTCTTGACGATCCGAGAGATCAATAAGCTCTTCGTCGGTCATTACTGCAAAGGATTCCCCGGTCATTAGCTCGGGCTCCCAGTGACGAAGTGTGTCATTGTTGAGGGGCTTACCCGCGGTCCCTTTTACTTGTTCATACTGCTCCTTCGTATGGACCAGACGGCACTCGGCCTCCGTGGCTTCACGGGCAGGTATTCGATACAGGGGCATTTCTACCACTGGAGGGTGCTTCTTGTCGTCAACCAATCCGGCTTCACAAAGCTCCTTGTAAATGTAGTATATCCGTCTAGGATCTTCCGGATGCACACCTTCGCCGGTCGTCGTTGCTACTTCGGCATGATATCGCATGCGCTCATCATAACATAGACCAGTCGGAAGCTTGGAAATCGGGAGACCACGCTTAGCTGGTGCTACAGGCTCATGGATTTCAGAAGAGGTGTCGGATAACAAGCTGTCTTCGGACTCTTCGTCCGATGGACTGTCGATTTTCAGGCGGTTGTCCATTTCCGTCGAAACGTCAGGTGTCTCTCTCATAGATGTATCACCTGACGGAAAGGCTGGCCTTTGTACCTGCGGAACGGGGTTGGGAAACTGTGTGCCGACCGAAGAATTAAATCCCTCCTGGCCCGGTGGCGGTACATGAGCCATTCTGAGGGATTTGAGTGGACGGTGAAATTGTAAAAACTGCCTTGACTTTAAGAGGCAAGCAGGAGATTGGTTAGAGAGGCTGCATAGTGGTTGTAAATGCCACGCCAGTGAATGAAAGGTGATCAAGCTTCTTTAGACCGAGCAAAGGCTAAGGCGATGTCAGTCACTCGAGTACACCAGCTATGAATGCCAGTCGACGTGATATCAAGGGGGGGCCTTTGTACATGATGGCGATTTGGTACATGCAAGTACAGCGGCCGCTCTTGGCTAGAAGCGTCAAGCTAATCACATACCTGTACTGGCACTCGAGCGACTTTGTTCTCGGATTTTGAGCTTCGCAAGCTGTGACGAAACCTCCAGCAAGAACAATAAGCCGGTAGATCACAGAAAGATATGTTAATTGACAATGGATGCTGTTTGTTGATCCCGTCACCTTTATTGGGGGCAATCAATACATCTCGAGGTGGAACGTTGCAAACGAAACCGGGCTAGGGAGTGCCAAGAGGCGGCTCACGTGACGACAACAGGAGGCCATGATCACGTGCATGTTCTTTCAAAGACCGTTTAGAATGAGCCAATCCATAGGATGATAATTTGGTTTTTGCTGTCAATACAGGGAGACTCGCATTTTCCTATCTGAGCTAGGTCGGAGTAAGGATACGTATTGGAGCTTCAAAGCAAAGCATATCACCAGATGAGACTTGATCTATGTTGCGCTTCGTCCCGTGTTTCGCCTGATCTTCTTTTTACCTCATGCAACACTAACCTCGATTTCTGAAGCCTCGTTTGGGAAGGAATTATTGGTCTTTGTAGACGATTGGTGGTATTATGGCCCGTCTTTTAAGCCTTGCCAGCATCGACCTTGGCAATGTACGCTAGATTTCCATGTCAGTTTACCAGGTCCCGAATATTCCCGATCGGATAAGGCACTCACCCAAAAGGTCGATGACACGTCGGGAATATCCCCACTCGTTGTCGTACCAGGAAACGAGCTTGACGAAGTGG